TGTGCCCGAGGCAATTTGTGCCCAATGCCTGGAGAATGTTCGTGTATTTCTTCATAGCCTGTAGGTACTTAGCGATCGAGCTCAATGTCGACCCTTTTAGATTGGTGTTCGAGCTTAAGAAGCACCCTCGGTACACCTGTTTTGGTTATCTCTCGACAATAGGACGGTTTAAGGTCCCGATGATGGCGAGTTCTCTAAAAGGGTGGAGGGAGGGGTGGTTTTATGCTATTGTTCAAGAACTCGACCTTCCTTTCTGGCTTGATTAGGGGATCCCCAATGCCGAGAAGTGCTGTGAGGGCCAGGTATATCTAGATATATTGAAAGAGCATAGGAGGACGCTGGTGGGGCTCAACCCTCTATTCTCGACCGTGAAGGAGATTAGGAAAGAGGTGATAGACCTGGGAGATATTAGAGGCGTCGAGGGTAGGGTTGTTTCTTTATTTTTGCAAAATAGCTTGATCTTGTGCTCATTCTAAAGTGTTTGTAATTTCCATTCTTGTAGGTATGTCGTTTGATTCTCGGGCCCTGCAATTTCGTCAACACAAGGGTTGATACTCGTCTTCTACAGGGCCAACCCCTCGCGAAGAAAAAGAGTAAGAAAAGGCCTCGAGGAACCCTCTCGAGCACAGTATGAGTTGGCCTGGCGAAACGTCTTGAGCACAGCCTCAACCCTCAAGCCCAGTGATGCAGCCAAACCAGAGGTCTCTTACTCTTCGAGTCGTCATCCCTCGACCTCTTTCTGAGGTCGTCGATCTCGAGGATGACACTATTCCTTTGGTAAATTCCCTTATTGAAGACTTCGAACATTGTCACCTTGTTCCTGGTCTTGTTTCCAAATACAAGGATGAGGTCAAGCTCGAGGATGGGATGAAGGTCCTCAAGCTTCTTATTATGAAGGTATTCCTTGAGTATTTGACTTACAAGTTTTCACTTTTTTCCTCGAGAATAATACTCCTTTTCTTTTACAGACTTTGAGTGTGGCTCGGGGACTTTTTCTTCAAGGAATCGAGGAGGCTAAGAGAGTGGCTGGGGTTGAGAGTTCAATGGCGCTAAGGATAGGAGGATTCTTGACCTCAAGGCCGAGGTCGAGGCCCTGTTGAAAGAGCGTGATGATGTAAAGAGGGAGGCTGCAAAGGCTCGGGATGACCTTGGTGCTACAAGGGATGAGGTCGAGGATACGAGGCTCGAACTTCTGCACAAGACAAAAGAGTTCGAGGGAAAGCTCGCGGAGGTTAAGGAGAAGGCTTGGGAGGAGTTCAAAACCTCCGACAACTGTGACAAAATCGAGGGCAAGTACGCGTTAGGGGCGTACTTCCACGCTCTCAAGGAGGCCCAAGCATTCTTCCATGCTAAATTACCCGACGTTAGCCCAGATGACCTGAAGAGGGTGCTTTCCATCGTCGATACTCTTGAGCTTTCGGGGTCGAAGGACGAATGAGCAAGTGGGAATGACAACCGGGAAGACCTCGAGGAGGAGGACATCCAGACCGACATTACCAACCTCGACCTTCTCCTTGGTCAGATGGGACAGTGTTCCCACCCCAAGCTCTTGTTTTGTAATTTTTGAACCAAGTTTTTTGTCCGACAATTGTAAAATATTTTGCTAGTGAATGAACCTTGCCTTTGTATTTCGTATAACTGTCAATTAGTCATGCCCGATCTTGAGCATTGGGACATACTCGAGGACAATAATTAAAATGTGATAATTATGCGTGAGGTAGTCCTCGAGGATTATGGGATCCAACTGACAAGTATTTGGTTCGACCATTGCCCTATCTAAAAATTGTTAATGGCATCCACTTTAGCTCGAGCACTGCTTAGATTAACAATTGTCAAGTATTGGACTCGAAGACTCGTGTTCCTATTATTCTTAAGCACACTAACTTTAGAAAGTTAAAATTTCTCATGTGATAGTCCTCGATGATGTTAATTCGTCGAGGACTGCAAGATTTGTCTTAAACATCAGGTTTTGAGGCATTGCCTTTTCCATAATCCCGAGCATAGTATCAAAAGCTTTAACTCCTAGTGTCGTCCTCGACCTAATGGTGTATACATTAACTCGAGCACTATTTTTAATTTAATAATTGCCAAGTATTACCATTGAGGACTCTCGTTCGTATGGGTCTCAAGAACTATCAAGGTTCGGGCACTATACTGGTGTTCCTTCCTCGAGGTCTTAGGGGGACATGTACCCACACCCCGAGGAATGGGATGCTACAGGCACGCCTTGACTCAAGGAACGATACCACTTCTCGAGGACTATTTAGACCCCGAGCCTTACATAAACAATCTGGGCATTGATGTGGTCGGGGATTGGTCGGGGTTTTTACATGGTCTTTCTTGCACGTTACCAAGCTTTATGCTGTTTTATGCAAGCTTTGAGTGCTTGCGTGGGGCAAGGCTTTGTGGTGTTTGCGTGGGGTAAGGCTTTGTGGTGTTTGCACGGGGCAAGGCTTTGTAGAGTTTATGTCTCAGGATTTAGCTTTTATTGCAATGTACTAAAAATCAAACCTGGCACCCAGGCCTGACCACATGATATATTAGACTTAGTGCGCAGGCCTGGCCACATAAAAAATAAAACTTGGAATGCAGGCCTGACCACATAGAAAATAAAACTTGGCATAGAGGCCTGATCATATATTAGATTAGACTTGGTACGCAGGCCTGACCACATGATAGAAGATGTTACTTGTAATATATTTTCAAATTTTCGGTATTCCACGACCTTGGGAGTGGTCTTTCTGACAAGTCTCTCAAATTGTACGCTCCTTTGCAAATTTGTCATATGACTTCAAAAGGGGTCGGGATGTTGACGCTCGTAAGATCCTCGACGGGGGCATGGATGATGTTGCCAAACCTCTGACAGTTGTTACATTTCTTAACATAGTCCAGGGCGCCTTTCCTCATTATAGGCCAATAGTATCCATATCGTATAAGTTTGAAGGCAAGGGACCGGGCTCCTTGGTGATTTTCGTATATATCTTTATGTACTTCTGCCAAGGCCCGGGATGCCTCTGATGGCTTGAGGCACCTAAAGTATGGGAGCGTGAAACTTCTGTGAAACAAGACCCCTCTGATCATGCAGTACATTGGTGCCCTGGATCGAACACTCCTAGCTGCTCAAGGATCCTCTGGGAGGTTTCCATTTGTTATGAAGTCTACTATTGGATCCATCCAAGATGGTTCATGATCAATGTCCATGACATTGTTGGTCTGGTAGATGCTGGGCTCTGTGAGAATTTTAATGTATATACTCCTATCCAATCCATCAACACCTGCAAACACAAGTCTAAGAGCGCATCGACCTTGCAATTTTGTGCTCTATCAACCTTTATGACTTCGTAACTCTTAAATCGCCACTGTAAATCATGAGCTTTTAGACAATATAAGTCCATTTTCTAGCCTTTCCTTTCGAATGAGCCTTCGATCTTTCCGACAACAAGTTGAGAATCACTAAAAATCTTGACGTGTTCAAGCTCAAGATTAAGGGATAGCTCCAGAGCAATGATGACTACTTCGTACTTCGCTTTGTTGTTAGTAGATTCAAATTCGAACCTAAGGGCGCACTGAACCTCCGTATTCTTGTCGGGGCTAATGATGATGACCCCAGCACCCGACCCCGAGGAGTTAGCTACCCCGTCCACGAAGATTTCCCAGGCATCCAAAGTGTTGTTTCTCGACCATTCCTTCGACCCTGAGGCCTTGGTGTGAGTTCAGCAATGAAGTCTGCTAAAGCTTGTGCCTTAATAGAAGGACGGAGTTTGAACTCAATATCAAATTCTCCCAACTCAATTGCCCATTTCAATAACCTCCCAGAGACGTCAGGCTTCTGGAGCATATGCTTACGGGGCTGATTCATGAGCACAACGATGGGGTGTGACTGGAAATATTGTCGGAGTTTGCGAGCTGTTGTAACCAAGGCCAGGGCAAGTTATTCGGCCAATGTCAAGTAACACTTTGCTTACATAATAAATCGGTTGCTGGACTTTGCTAACCTTCTTCACTAGTACACCACTGTCTGCATGTTGAGAGACTGCCAAGTATAAAAAAAGGTGTCCCTCGATTCAGGTCTGGTTAGGACTGGAGAAGAGGCTAATGTTTGCTTGAGCTCTTGGAAAGCTTGTTCTCACTCGTCATTCCAATCGAAATTTTGGTTGTCCCTAAGGACCATGAAGAAAGGAAGGCACCTGTTTGCTTCCCGGGACATGAACATATTCAAGGCGGCCACTCAACCTGTCAGCTTCTAAACCTCTTTCCCACTCTTTAGCGATTCCACGGATACTAAGGCTTGTATCTTGTCTGGATTGGCTTTTACCCCCTATGACTGATCATGACTCCAAGAATTTTCCTGAGGCTACTCCGAATGCACACATTGCTGGTTTAATTTCATCATGTACTTCCGAAGGGTGCTAAAGACTTCCTCAAGATCAGATACATGCTGGCCTACCTGTTCGCTTTTCACCGTGTTATCGACATATGCTTCAACATTCCTGCAGATGAATTGGGCAAAGACCTTGTTGATGAGTCTTTGATATGTTGCCCTGCATTCTTCAACCCAAATTACATGACCTTGTAACAGTATATGGTGGAGTCTACCATAAAAGATATCTTCTCTTGATCGTCCTTGGCCATAAGGATTGGATGGTAGCCCGAAAATGCGTCTAGGAAGCTGTACAACTTGTGTCCTGTTGTGGCATCCACAAGGCTGTCAATCCGAGGCAAGGGATAACTGTCCATTGGGCAAGCCCTGCTGAGGTCTGTGAAATCAATGCAGACCCTCCATTTGCCATTGACCTTTTTCACCAAAACTACGTTGGCAAGCCACTCGGGATACTGGACCTCTCTGATAAAGCCTGCATTGACAAGTTTATTGATCTCTTCGTGAATGACCTCTCATCTTTCTGGGGCAAACTGTCTTTTTCTCTGCTTCACAGGCTTGGCTTCTGGATTGATATTGAGCTTATGGACTGCAACGCTAGGATCTATACCTGGCATGTCTTTCACTTTCCATGTAAAGATGTCGATGTTTCGAGATAAGCAAGCAATGAGTTCCGCTGTAAGGATTTCATCAAGACACAATCAATATTTACTTTTTTCTCGACCTCTACCAATTCTTCGACTGGTGAAAGCCTCATTCGGTGGTCGGGGTCGGGCTCTGTGTCGGAAAGCTGCATGACATCGGTGCTTATCTCCCGTAGGCTGGTGATATAGCATTGTTTAGCCGCCACTTGATCTTCTCGTACAACTCCTACTTGTGACCTATAGGGAATTTCTTGCCAAGGTGAAAAGTGGACACGATTGCCTTGATCTTGTTTAACAGGGGCCTACATAGGATAGCATTGTAGGCCATTGAAGCATGGACCTCTTGAAAAGAAGGCGTGACTTCTGTCACTTGCTTTGGATCAGCTCCCTCTCCCGTCGAATCCCTACAGAGGAGTTTTCACAAGCTTTAGTTGTTGAGTTGAGATACCCATCTTACCAAAGGCCTTATACGATAGGATGTTCGCTGCACTTCCATTATCAGTTAAGATCCTTCTTACTTCGAAGTTAGCAATAATTGCTGAAATGACTAAGGCATCGTCATGAAGAAGAGACACACCATCAAGGTCTTTACCTCCGAATGTAATGTCCTCAAGACGATCCTGGTGCATTCCAGATGTTGAGCAGCGCTGCCTGCTATATTGTTTTCGTCCATTGTTTGAGTTTCCTCCTGATGCAATGCCTCCAACAATGATGTTGATAGTCCCTGCCATTGGTTGGTGATCACACTTGGTTTTCGGGGATTTCTCTTTATCATGGTCATTTATAAGACGCTTATCATTGCTAACATATGAACCGAGGAGTCCTCTCTTTATAAGTGCCTCGATTTCCCGCTTAAAGGCCATGCAATTCTCCGTGGTATGCCCATGATCCTTATGAAAATCGCAATACTTGCTTCGGTCCCTGGCATCCGAAGGAGACTTCATTCTAGGTGGCCATTTGAACTCCTTCATATCCTTTATTTCCATCAGTTTGTTGGCTCTTGAAGTGTTCAATTTGGTGAAGGATGATGGCGGGGTCTCCTGCCTTTGCTTGTTTCGAGGGGCCTCTTGCCATTGACTTGAGTCATGTGGCCTCTTTGGCTTAGCCCTTACTTGATTCGGGTCGATTTACTTCGAATTTAAAGTCTTCTCCATATTAATGTACTTCTCACCTCTGGTCAAGAGCTCGATCACTAATTTTGACGGTGTTTTAGACAAGGACATCTTGAATGCCTCACATCTTATAGCATGAGTAAGAGTGGAGATTGCCACAGTGATATGGAGGTCGGGGATCTGCAACCTTTCGTTATTGAACCATGAAGTCACGGAGAGTCTCATTTTGGCCTTGGCAGCGTTGCATGAGGGAGGTCGCCATCTTTCTGATGCGCTTGCTACTGGCAAAGAAGGCAAAAACTTATCGGCCAGGTTCGCAAAGGAAGATATAGAATTGGGTTCCAAGGTCGAGAACCAATCTCTAGCAACGTTGGTCAGTGTTTGAAGAAAAGCCTTACACATCACCTAGTCTAGCGCAACTTGCATATTTGTGACGTCAGTGTAGATGTTGAGATGATTTATCGGATCAGTAGTCCTGTCATACTCTTTTATACGGGGATACTTGAATCTATCCGACAGGGAGAATGACAGTATCTCAGGAGTAAACAGAGTGTTAGGGGTGAAGCCTGTTGTCCCTTTTCCTTCTGCTTTAGGCCAACTGTGATACCCTCCTGGATGATTCTGGCGAATTTACCCAAATCTATTGTTACTTCTCTCGAGGCCGAGGCCATATTGGGCACACTCGAGTTTCAGCCTCATCATTACCGGGAACGGGGCACGAGGCTCGAGCTTGAGCATCCACCATGAAACCACCTTCAGGAGTCGGCGTATGCATTGGGTGAGAATTCCTTTGGCTCAACAACTGAGCATGGCAACTTGTTGGTGAAGCTCTTCAAAAGTTCCAGCAGTAACAACAGCTTGTTGGGGGTGCTGGTATCTCTGATGACTCTTTCTGAGGAGCAGGATGATCTTCGGGGGGAGGAGGAGGGTTTGGGGCTGATAAACTTGCTGGAGAAAGACCTGATCGTGTATTCACCATGGCTTTCGGTAGCGCTTCCTCCAGACGGTGCCACTGATGCTACCAAAAAAGTGTACCTTGTAGATCTCGAGAACGAGGACTGATAACAAGCACGAACGTGATCTTCCAATACCTGAAACAAAGGCAACGAGGTGTGTTCTCCTTGTCCCCCCGATGCTTAAGTCAGAAAGAGGATTGAAAAGAAATATATGTGCTGAAGATTGCGTGGAGAACGTACCTGATTAATGGGTTAAGGGTCTATATTTATACTGGTAGATTGTTGGACTCCTAGTAGGATTGAACTGCCCGTATGTTCTTATCCGGTAGAGTCCTGTTCTCGAGGAATGTCCTACTTATAATAGAATCGTTCGACTAGTGGTGTTAGAGCTGACATAGAGTCCTTGGGGGTTTAGGCGTCTGTTGGTTGAACATATACACCTCGAGGATATGCTAATGAATAATGACCCGAGGACATCTTCTCGAGGACAATAAGAGGCGAGTTTCTTGGTCGTATGAGCAAAGTCCTCGGGCTACTATGCTCGAGAACAAACATATCTCGAGGACTTCTTGGCAGAAAAGTGAGGTGGAGCATGTAGGGAGTCCTCGAGGAAACAGTTCCTTGAGTATCCAATATTGGTATTATTAGTTACCAAGTCAGTGACTTGTGTTTCATTTGACATAAGAATAGAGTATCATAAATAAGATCAAGGATAGACAAATTTTTCTGTCTTCTATTGTTCCGACTTGAAAGAGGGGGATGGTAAATAGAACGGAGACGATGATCATGATCACTGCTTAGAATTTCCGAACTCGCCCCAAAAATTTTAACTTCATTTTATTTTAAACAATTATTTTCTAGAATTTACTAAAGTTTTTGTTAAGGATATGTAGCAAAAGCTTTCCTTGTTTAGTGGATTGAGTAAAAATGAATAAATAATGGATTCAATCACTCTACGACTACTATAAGTGATATTACGAAGTGTTAATGGACTATGGAGTAAAAATTAATTAATAAACTAACTGGAAGATAAATGAGGTTTTTTTTTAATCTCATCTACTTCCCAAAAATCATCGTTAAAAAAATACAACACCCTTTTTAAGTTAGTTCGAGTTCTTTATTAGGACTTTGTCATTTGTACAATGAATTTGTTCACTTTGATTGACACTTGAATGACAACAATGCATTGGATGAAAAAAAAACTGTTTAAAATTATAACCCTGTTTGGCCCCCATTTTGGGAAAATGAAAATGGGCGGAATACTGTTTTTTTGAAAAATGAGTGGTTGAAAAAGAAGGAAATATTTTCGATTGACGTGAAATATTATTTTATAAAAAATTGTGTGGTTAAAAATAGGAGAGAGAAAAATGAAATGAAAATTAATGGGGGCCAAACGGGGACTTAAAATGTCAAATTGAATAATATCACGTGGCAAAGCGTAAATCTAGCGAGGTTCTCTTAAATATATGTGCGATTGAGCTTGAAGCTTGAAGCACCAAATCTAAAGCAATAATACAGAAAAGCTGATTCAAAATCTTTTATTTGTATACTAGTTTAGGCTCCATGCAATGCACGGATTGTATTATTGGAAGGGTGATATTAGCACTTTGAATGTTGATAATTGTATAAAGTAAATTACGTTCAAAGTGGGAGGAGTAATGAAGAAGTTTTTCATTAGAAAACTGTCGAACAAAGATATGTTTTTATATTCGAAAAAATTGGGATCTTCTTGGTTGTTTCTGTTATCCTTTTGAAAGTGTATGTTTTAGTTGGATGGAAATGGAGATTTAGAAGTAAAGCAAAGATTGAGAAAAAGCAAGAGGCGTCATTTAGTCATTTAGTAATCTTCTCATCATATACTACATCTAATATTTTTTGAAAATAATAATTGGTACAATGTTGAAAGTTAAATATTTACATGTCAATTATTTGAACGAATGGTAAATAAGCTAAAGGTTTATTAAAGAATGTTGTACATATTTTACTTTTTTTTAATGCTATACATTGAGAAAAAGAATTTGATAAAGATAGCTCAATTTATTTTTTGGCAGAATATATATGATGAGAAGATTGCATTATCTCTAATTTGGTTTAGTCATCTAGTGATACATTAGACTTCTCATCTTTTTTTTTTTTTCTTTTTCTTTTTTTTTTTGTCATCTACAAATGAAATAGAGTTAGCAAAAAAACACTTCTTGAGTGTGAAACAATTGTCCTTTATACCTGTTCCTCTGAACTTATTCTCATGGTATCCATTACCTTTTTTGTTTCTATATACTTTTTGGATTCATCAAGCTTGTCTAAGTCGTAGCAATTTGATTGATTAAAGAACGAAACTTTTTGGATTGCCCAACTTAATTTTTTTAATATCCTGAAAGTTATAAAAGAGAGAGAGAGAGAGAGAGAGAGAGAGAGATTAATCTGGAATTAACTTGGAAACATAAGAGAGTACATAAATAAAGATTTTTTTTAAACAAATTAACATGAAATTAAAAAAATGTGATGACTTATGTCAAGGATGTGTTCATCTAACATTTACAGGCAAACTCAATCAAATCCCTTGGAGCAGTTCCCTTTTGATTAATAAGAAGATATTCCTTGAATGATGGGTCATATTTCTAGAAGAAAGCGAGCAGATTTTTAAATTCTGTTTTGCCACTTATATAAGAACTAAAGAGACAACCATGATGCAGCAAGAAATAAAGAATAAGTTCAGTGCCAATAGCCCTTTCATCGGCCAAGGAGAAGTATTTTACATTGATTAAAAGACTGTGATTGCACATTCATCAGATTTGAAGATTCAAGACCTAATCACATCAGTAATAAATAGCATCAGGAATCAACCAATTGTATGATTACCACTGCCTAGAGAAACAAGATTGACAGAATTTAATTATATGGACAAGCAATATGTAGAAGAGAGTAGGACAAAAATGGCTCAAAGCCTCAAACAATATTTGCTCAATATGGATTTCGATTTAAATTTTTAAAAGCTTGTAACTAATATATAGTTTGCTCTGTACTTACCACTAATTCACAATAAGCATAACAATATTGAGGAAATCTCCCAAGAATTTCCATCAGAAATGTTTGAGTTGCATCTAAGAAGAGAAATATCATTTCCTTTACACAAATATCGAGCTGTACGAACAATGATAAAAAATTACTTCTATTAATTTAATCAATAAATGACTGAGAATAAGATATGGAAAATAATTTCTACCTTTTTCTTAACTATCACCACAAATATAGGAAGAATACGCATCTGTGACTGTGCCTATAACCTGATGATGAACATGTTCTCCAATATTGTTCATCAACATCTTAAGAAGCTGTAAATCCAACAAAAAACAAAGTCTTGTCAATGCTTCAAAGCAAGTGGTCAGAGGGACATATATAATCCACCGCAAGCAAAAGAGATCCATCAAAACAAGCAAAAAAAAATTATATACCCTATAAGTACTTACCAGTACTGTAAACAATTGTGTGTTTGAATCTTTGCTTCCCAGGTATTCTTTATAACTTTTATAACATCTTTAGCTTGTCTGTATTACAAAAATACATAAAATAGTGGTGAAGTGGATAGTGACATTCAAAAACACAGTTAATGTTAAATTAAACAACACTAACATTGTCTTAAGAATTAAACTTCATTTAGCAAGATAAAAGTAACTTCAGCACCATTTTACAGACTTAAACAACAAAAGCATTTACTCCTTCAAATTCGAAATCACTATAATAGATATTGAAATTGAACATTTAGAGTACAAAATTAATAAATGAAGATATATCAACTCCTATTAAAGTATACGTGGATTACCAACTTACTGAGTTCCTTTAATTTTTGGTACCAGATGCATCTAGTTAATAGAATAATAGTTAGGTGGGGCTAAATCTTCAAGTTTGATATTGACTATGTTCGAAGGAACCAACATTGAGGCTTTTTCCTCATTCTATTTCCCATTTCGTAAAACCTGAAGTCGGAACAGCTTTAATGTCTCATATTTGCCACCGAAAAACTTACATTTATTCCAATGTATAGAAATATTTGAACTAAGTAATTTTGAAGCTATGAATATAAGATTATAGATTGAATTTTGATAAATGAATCTTACTGAATTTTCATAATTTGTTATGGTTAGGATAAACATGGACGTAAAAAATATTCATTGTGACAGATATCTGTGACAATCTTTCATCTGTATAAAGGTATCCTCTCTGGTGAAACTGCTTCTAATGGATATCCGAAAACAAAGCATTCAATGTATTTGAGAAGGAAAACTCCAGAATTTGGCCTATGGAAAAAATAATTTGAAGTTAGTTTATGTTAATGTTGTAAATGTAAAATAAAATTAAATAGAAAATTAAATATTACAGTAAATTGTTGAGATGCTTACCCATTATTTTGACAAGGTAGATACTGTATGATTTCCAATTTCATATATT